GTCGAGGGGGCCGCGGGGGCCGTGGAGGTGGTCGTGGCGGTGGTCGTGGCGGCTTCGGCCGTGGGGCCCGGGGGCGTGGGGGGCAACGTGTTGGCCGCGGAGGCTACCTCCCCGCCGGGGTCCAGGCGGCCCGACCAGTTCGTTTTGGTCGGGAGCTCCGCCGGGCCCCGGTGGAGGAGCTGACTGCCGAAGAGAGGGTAAGTATTAGACATATAGATCTCATATTTACTGAGCAGACGCTAACTTATATAGGTCAATGAAGGGCAAGCACTCGAGGCGACTATGCGTGAGTTAATTGGCACGTTCCGGAGACTGGCAGCTCGACGTGACCGTCTTCGGGGGCAGGTTAATACTCCCAACCCTGTAGAGGGGGAGGGTGTATTTCCTGCCATCGAAGGCGGTCACGTCGATGCTGGCCAGGTGGAAGGAGAAGAAGGAGAAGAAGGAGAAGAAGGAGGAGAAGACCAAGGAGAAGGACAAGCCCAAGGAGGAGACCACGAAGATGCAGAAATGGGAGACGGAGATCCGGATAACTACGAAAATTTTCTAGACAACTACGTTGAGTACGACCTCTAGAGTTGTGTCTTTTTCCGGTTGACTCTTCTGGGAAGGCGATAACGGGGTTCTTGTTTTCTTTTTTTATGATCACTGGCGATACATGATGGGTTTGCTTGCTTTCGAATATCAATGAGATGGGCACTGTATTTTTAGTAAGGATATATGAATTACTTCAATCTCTTCCTTGCCACTACTAGGTATTTGACCAAATATTCTCGTACATGCCTGGGCCAAGCACATACCCATATGGTGATTCGAATCCCTACTATATGGCATATAGTGATTCAAATGCTTGGTAGGCATACCAAACGGAATGGTAATGTAATTCTACTTAGGCGGAACTCTGAGCGGTCTCTGGAGTTACATACTAAACACCTAAGGTACGGAGTACAGACGTTTTCTCGGCTTTGTCCCAATGGCTTGCCGTAGTCTTGGCCTTCTTCTCCGTCTTTTCCCCTTCTTGACTGCCTTCCACCTAGCCAGCCTCTACTAACCCGAAGACGACAGTGACGCCTAGATCGCGCAGCGTCCGGGCAATCAGCTGAGCACCAGTAACGACAGCCATCCTGGTGCCAGGTTAGTGAATCAATCCAAAATCAAGCAGATTAGCTAACCCTAGCAATGTATATATATATATATATATGTATGTATGTATGTATGTATGTATCAGGTATTAGGTGAGTGATGGAAGGCCATCTCTGCGAAATTGAAGCTTCGGAGAATGGTGATGGATGAGGAGATGCTCTGGGGCACTTCCGAGGTTACAAATGACGCAAGCCCGGAATGATTCCCGAGAAGTCACGTCGTTCGTTATGAACAGCGACATATAAAAATCTGTAAGTTCTTTGACTTTAAACATGGAAATTTAATACCAGATGGCTTACCAACACTGATCATCTAGTCAATCAGCGTTGGTAGACCGCGCAGTGAGATATATAAGACTGCCGGAAGAGTGATAGAGAGTATGTAGTACTAAGAATCTATTTGCCGATAGCAATCTCTCAAGGTACGAATCAAATTCGCTACATGTTGACCTCGAGGTACGAGGTAAAGACATATGGTATCCAACACATCAACTGAGACAATAAATAAAATATGCCCGATCATGCCAAATTCTTGCCCGTCCGTTCTATAGACAGAAAGCGCAGGAGGTATCATTCTTAGAAATCGAATTCTTTCCTGAACACATTCACATCCATCCCTGCCACTACCATATCAGCCAGATCCCGACGGCCCATCTGGCTGAATACACGCCGCAGCGTATCGTACAGGTTGGTGCTCTGGTTCTGGCTGATATGGAGCATCCGCTCAAGTTGCTCATCATCAATACCACCCTCACCACCACCAACGATCTCGCGAGCTCGCTCCCGACCTTCCTGTTCGACGACACGGTGCATAGACAAAGCGCCTAGGAGGTGCTGTGCAGCCTCAGGGTAGCAACCGATGTTGATGCAGGATACGCCAAGGTTGTACCGGGCACGGACAAAGTTGGGGTTGATTGTAAGAGCTTGCTCGTATGCCTGAATAGCCTCCTCTGAGCGACCGGAGTTGGCAAGTGTAGCTCCGAGACGGTTCCAAAGAAGGTGAAGTTGCTCCTTCTGATTCACCGTGCCCGACTCGGTAGATGCCAGTGCGGCGGAGAAGCAGTCGACAGCCTTGTCGTATTCCTCTGCACAGTAGAAGAGAACACCCAATCCGACTTGAACGTCTGGGTCCATCTGCTCTCCGGAAGGTGACAGCTGCGCCGCCTTGATGAACAGATCGGTGACCCGGTCATGTAGAATCTGGCGATCTGTGAAGCCCAAGTCTGCATCGGATGACAGATCCTTAGGATCGATGATCTGAGGATACTTGACAGAAAGCCAACGCTCGAGGGTACGGTAAGCCGTCGAGTCATAACCTTCGTTTGTATACGAAACAGCCAACCCCATGAGTGCGTCCAGATTGTTGGGATCGATCTTCAGCGCCTGTTCCAGGGCACGAATAGCAGGAAGCTCCTTCTCATTTTGCGCCTGTGCGGATCCCAGCATTGTCCAGGCTTGAACGTGCTGAGGGTCCTTCTGAACAGCCGCCTCGAACGCCAACGCGGCCAAGGAAAGATTGCCGCCTTCGCGCATGATCTTGACGCCTTCTTCAAATGGGTTGGCCACATTCCGGAACACGTTTTCCTCTTCGAACATGTAATCGCCCAGCTGAGGATCTCGGAAACGCGTGTGGAGATTGTCAAAGCCGTCCCACTCGCCGAGGTCTCCCATGTGCAGGTTGTCGTTGATATCGAAAGAGGCATCTTCCTCCGCCAGTTTCCTGCTTGTCGCCGATTCAGCTTGGATTCTTTGCCATACGCTCTCAAAAGCACCGTAATCTTGAGCATTACCGGTGTCAGTAGTGGGGACTGACCTATCGAGATCATTCAGCTCCGCCTCCATAGCCGCGTTGGCCTCATCGTCCAGGGTCTGGTTACCCGCGGTCTCCATCTCGGCAAACTGTGCCTCCCAATTCTCATCGTCAAGCTCGACCATGCGGCCCTTGCCCTTGTCCTGAGTAGCGGCCTCCGCTGGCTGCTGTTGCATGCCCATAGGTGTATAGGACGGACGCATCATGCCCATTCCTCCCATCCCCATGTACCCCATGCCCATAGGACGCTGATAACCGGCCATCATCGGCGACGCGGACGTGGCTGGACTCGACGTTTGCGGCATGCCGACCCGACTCTGTTGTTGGAAGCGAGCAAACTCAGCAGGTGTGAATGCGGACCCGTTGTTCATTAGAGGTCCTGTAGGGCCGGCAAACGCAGCCTCCATCCGGGCATGCTCGCCAGTATCAAATTCAGCCGCCCACCCGGGAGACCCCGTCCGTGGCGGAGTGGTCTGGAAGTGATCTAACTCGCGCCTTAATTGTTCCATCGCAAATGGTTGCGGTGCTGCCCCGGGGATCTGGCCTGGTTGTTGTGCGGCAAACTCGTCCATCATCTACTTAGATTACCAATCCATTGTTAGCTACAGTAACTAGCAGCGGGCTTCAAAGAAAGTGAGATTTCGTACCTGATCTTGACCACCCATCATACTCCTCGACCGCATGCTCTCTTGCATGCCCCCGGGGCCCCTGCCAACAAGGCGGTCCCGTTGGAGTGACTTGTCGTCCTGCACATGCTTGGTGAACTGTGAGAGCGGGTTTCCCGCGGTAGAGCACTCGGCGCCACCAAGGAACGACATGTTGACAAATTCACCAGAAACCCGTCTGAAAAAATAACATCAATTGTTAAGAAAGTGATCTGAACGGTCAACGATCAGCTTCAACAGAGTCTAGGAAAAAAGGAGGAGGAGGATGGAGAGGTAGATGACAACGGTATCTCCGCCAAAACGTGGGGTTTGAAACCGATCGGAGACCTGCTGATGCCGAGGTCCGCCAGAGGTCACGTGTTTCGATATCAGGAGACGCCTGCCCATTTTTTTCCTCTCTAGTATTATGCTCCAAGTCGTTTCATCAGGTGTAGGCGGTTACATAGATGTTGTTAGATTGAGGTACCAAAGCTCTATGCTATATAGATTACACTCTGAATGTCGGCTATAGTATACATCGTATGCAAAATGGTACTTCATTTGTCGAATTCTTGCAACACCCAAGCGCATAAAAAGAGACAGAGCCCAACTGATTGAATAATACTACTGATTACTCTCTATCCGTAACCTCCTCGATACGACTCGCCCTCCTGTTGGTATTACTGTAGTCCACGCGAATCCGTCGACCGAAAGGTGCCTTCCCGCTGAGAATCTCGAAAGCCTTCTGAGCGCTCTCGACATCGAGGAATTCTGCATGAGCGAAGCCGCGAGGTTGCCCTGTCCGTCGATCCACCGATACGCGAACATCAATAACATTGTTGATATCTCTGAAGAGCTCGCTCAGATCCCGGTCGGTCATCTCAAACGACAGGTTGCCGAGGTACAGCGTCTTCGAAACGGGCTGCAAGGGCCTGGATCCGCCGCCGCTGCTCGCATATTGCGCGGTTATACGGCGGCCCTCATAGATTTGCAAATGCATAGCCTCGACGCAATCTTTGGCGGCATCAATAGAGTCAAAGTGCACGTATGCAAACCTATTCGATAAAACAAGACAGATTGTTAGATTTCTCTTTTCCCGCAGAGAACAGTAGGAACGGGGCTCACCCTCTGCTCATTCCGCGGTTGTCAGTAATGAGATCGACTCTCTCCACAACGCCAAACTGCTGCATGTGGTTCTTCAGATCTTCCGCCGTCACGTCGTAGAACAGATTACCAATGTAGACAGTCTCTTTAGGCCGGGGATCCTCTTCCAGGATCCGGAGCCGCTTCTTGGGTTTCTGAGGCCGCGCATCGCGAGGATCGGACTCCGTCTCAATGATCTCGGAAAAGTCATCATTCTCGTGCTCTGATGAGCTCGTCGGCTCCTGGCGGGCGGAGTTGTCGCTGAACCATCTGGTATGTAATGGTAATTGAGATTGCAGAGGGGATAATACGGGTAGAGGGACGCGAGGTGCAAGAGCCCTGGCTGACCATGCCGGCGCGGTGACCGGCAAAGACAGGAGTCGACTGGCTGCTCGCCGAAAGCAATACCTGTAAAGAGATGCAATCAGTCACGGCGTCCTTGGTGGAAGAAAAGCTATCACAGCATCCAGTAGAACGAATAGGTTATTTCCTTACATTTTCTGTGTCCTCGTGAATTGAGTTGGTGATAGATGACCAAGGGCAGAAATACAGAATGCGTTCTGCAGAAAAGTTCGCCTTATCGGAAACGATAAAGATCACGTGACTGTATCAGGCCATGCTGCCATTATGAAACTGATGGATTTTACGAATGGGAGAATGAAAGCTTGAGCTTCTCACCAGCTCTTGTCTCGCGCAAATGAAGTAGAATGAAACCAATGTATTGTCAATCACTGAGGTGGGAATTCACAGTAAATTGTGGGAATCGAGTGGAGAAACAGGGTATATACAGTCGTCCAGATTTGTGCATTTCCCAGGCATCCCAACAAGAGGGTGATTTGAGTCCTTGAGGAAACTCCACACCTCCAAAACCATACACCGGGGTGGAAAAGATAATATTGCTGAAAAGAAGTGAATTACTGGACAAGTGAACGTCCAAACAATGCGCTTTTGCGGTCGACATGAGTACTTATAAGATGCCCTCGCCTGAAGCGTTGTTGCCTTTTTGAGGAGAGTTGTTGTCGTAAGGCCCGTTAATGCCCGGACTCTCATACTTCACCGGGTCTGGAGAGAAGACATTGGAAAAGCGAGGCAAAGACCGCATATTATCCGCAGTGTTGCCTTGCTGCATGGAAGGTAATTGGGGGGATGACAAGGACCCCTGAGCTTGTAACGATGGGTGAAGCGGCGGTTGTGGTGATGGTTGCTGCTGCTGTCCATCGAACGTTGGCCACCATTGGTTCGGTATGTCGAGATTCGAACTCTGAATATAAGTGTCCCAAGAATCCTGTTCGCGAGGGTTAGTCATGTCCAGTAGTGTCAAGGCATGAAAAAGGGGGCAAGCGTACCCAATCCAAGTTCAGCTGCATATCAGGCATTTGTCCAAACATTGTGCTGAACGGGGACAGAGCTCCGGGCACCTCTGCCGTGGACCCAAATGCCCCCGGGGCAGAAGGCGTTTCTGACACTTTGAAACCAGTTTCATTGAATGCTGGGGGTCCTGAGTTCGCGGCGTTCATTCCACTGCTCAATAATCCCAAGGTCATTGCGGCGCTTTGCTTCTCGTCCTGAGGTTCGAAGGCCGGTGCCGTGGCATTACTGTCTGGAAACCCTAAATTCAGTTTGGCAAGCATCACGCCGAGAATGCCAGCGGCTTTCCAAGCCTCAAGCGACTCCTCACGAAGTTCCTCCCAAATCTCTCGAGAACGCTGTAATGCCACGATCATCTCCTGTCGTCGCTCCCTGCCCCACGTAAAGGTGTCGCCGGAATCTCTTCCGCCGGCTTGAAATTTGAGCCCATGATACATGTCGAAGCAGACAATAGTTGCAGCCAGCAAGTAATCAGTGGAGCTGAGGGAATTTATGCGATTCTGTTTTGTCCGCAGACGTCCCGTTGGCCTTGTCTCTGCGTGTAGCATTGACTGAAACCGCAGCAGCTCCATGGCTGAATCGATGCAAGTTTTGCGTGAGTAGGTGAATCGGGGATTTCCACGTGCTAGAACGATATAAGGCCGGTGGAGAACACACTGTGCTTTATGGTAGACGCTCATTATCTGCCAACGATCAGTACTTAAAGTCGAGGTATAACTGGCAAGTGACTACGTACACCGAAGCGCGACATAATCAGATTGGACGGGTCCAACTGACACTCCTCGAAAGGGCGAATGACAAGATGCTCCGGAATCAGGTCCCGAGCTCGGCGAAGCTCAGCATCCAACTCCATCACCTTGTCGTAAGATTCACTTTGCACACTCGAGGTGAGCTCGGTAACGCGGCCAAATGCGTACGCCAGACGGGCTTTGGCAATGAGGTACGAGATTGGTGTCGGTTCATTCGCCGGCCGTGAGGGAGGAAGTTCCTTGCAGTTTTCGTCGAAATCATCATCATATAGATTCCGCGGAAGCTCTGTATCACTATCCACAGTGCGAATCATGCTGGGCAGCCCAACCTGAAATGAAAAGAGCAAGTCCGACTGCCGCACGAAAGTCCATACGCGTCGGCGCATCTCACCTTGGAAGGGGGTAATGTTGGGGAAAACTTTTGAGTCCCGGTGGTATCCCATTCTCATCGCTAGCCTTGCGACGACACCGACGAGCACCCAGACCGAAATATCTGCTTCCTTCGTTTGACGAAAGTCGCCATGAAGATGGAAGATGAATGTCTCGATCAGGTAGGGATAAGGTTTGGTATAATCGGCCAGAGTCAGACATTGAGCGACAAGATTTCGGAAAGTTCCAGCCATGTCCAGGGATTTCCCTCGAAACTCGGGCGGCTCATCTCCTTCATGGTTATATGACAGCATAGCAAGTCGCATCATGGCGAACAGCATGCCCACCCAGACAATGCAGGTTTGAGAAGGATCTTCCCAATGTTTATTATACTGGGGCGGAAGTCAGAAGGAATAACGGTCTGCAGGAGAACAACTATGCTTACCTGAGCTTGAAACGTCGGACCGTGAAGAATATCTGTTCATTGTTAGTCATAGATGCATTTACATGCAGGTTCTCTAGTTCTGTCGGTACTCACGAGTCGCTGGATCATAGCTATTGAAATAGCGAGCAATAAGCATATCTGTTGTATATCTCGAGGGAAAAGAAGACATAATCTCTGCGCGGCTGGCAGGCTTCATGGCCCCAAGAAGCAGCGTGGAGCCCGGGACATCGCTTGGCAGCTTGGTTGTCTTGAACTTCTCGGCTTGCTCCTCGTACTGCTTCTTGTACGTCTGGAAGTAATTACGAACTTCGGAGATCTGTGGATTCGTGTAAATAAAGAGAACTCATGAGCGCATGGTCAAGTGCTGACTCACATCGTTGAGGAGGGAAGCCCAGTGCGCATCGCTGATATAGTATGATTTATTGTTGTCGACTTTCATGATACCAAATGACTTGGTAACTTGCTCCGTATCGCTCTCCTCCGGAGCATTTGATGTCTCCTCGTCCAGATCGATGTCGTGACTCTGATTGAGGGAGCCGCCACTGCTGCTGGTTCCGGAAATTGCTGCCATTGCCGCTGCCGGGCCTGCGGACTGTGACCCGTTGGTCATCAGGGACAGTACCAAGCTCTCGAGTCGGTCTATTCTGTTCTGCATATCGTCCGGTGAACTTGAGGCAGAGTTCTGTGTTGCATTCTTCCTTCGCGCGCTTACTTGAGCATACGTACAGGAAGAAGCATCGCCTCGCTTTACGCAGTTCTCGCATGGGTGGGCGCGGTTGCATTTCAGTCTTTGATAATACGGTGTTAAAGTATGCTCTTCTTCAGACAGAGGAAAAACGCGAATACTCACTTTCTGTGCCGACAGGGGCCGCAAGAAAGTGGCACCCTGTTTCGCTTTCGGATGACCCTAAACTGGCCATCCGGCGACACGGCGCCAATGCTTGAGGAGGTTGATGGTGGAGTAGGTGACATTTCGGAGATGAGACCTTGGTGAACGGTTGTACTAGACTTGTTGATATGTATTCACACGTAGGCCGACTAGCTTCACTTCGAGCGGAAATCCAAACGAGCACGGCGCAGCAGCGAGTGCTGAGAATAACCTGGCACCAAGTGCTTATCTGACACTGGTGTGTCTCAATCCAGCTGTGAAATGTCCGTCGGGTGCGTGGCGCGCTCGATTCAAGAAGTGCCTGACCAGAGGCGTTCGCGCGGTTTCTTCGACTTGGGCAGATTAAATTCTTGAGGTACCGAGAAGAGGGCGCAGGTTCAGATACGGCTGAGTTTCTGGCAGCGTTTCGGCGGACGGTTCAGCAGCAAACAATGAGCCTGAATTGCTTAGCTTTAGTGGGGTTGATAAGTTGCGGCGGCGTTTCCTCAAGTCGAGGTCGTTGGTGATTTATGCGATACTGCTTTCCTGCTGTTGAAAGCATGCGCAAACATCACAGATATCAAGTGCCTAACTTAGTGTGCGTTAATAATAAGAATCGTAGAAGGCGACCGAAGGCAGGGAAACGATAGTGTGGATGGATGGACGGACGGGCGCAAGCGGTCGAGAACTATGGAGTGATGTCGTCGAAACAGGGGGGCGACGGACCAATCCTTCATTCTTCTGCGATAATGGCGACCCGCGGAAGAGATGGACATTCATTCAACAAGATGCGCCAGTTCTCGAGAACTAGAAATTAAGGCTATGGGCGAGGAAGGAATAATAAAAGGACCGTCAACTGTGGTAGAGTGCCAATGATGAGGATCAAGATTACCTGCGCATTTATCTCCGTTATCACCACGTCTTGCTGCCTGAGGCCTAGACGCGGTTCTTACTACCTTAAGGGAGGCTTCTACAGAGTACTTCATGCCTGATAATAACAAATGATCTTTATTATCACCTAACTTTACGAGGAAGAAGGCATACATACTGTCAGAATTGGTACTGTGTCCAGTGAGCTTAACCGAATATTGATCATGGTCTTCAGCATGTGCAATACAAGCAGGTCAGGCTTGAAACAGACTAGATACAGGGCTCCAGGCAGCTACTGAGTTACGGGGGCCCAAGTCAAGACTTCGCAGCAAAAGTGTACGGATTATGGCAGAGACCATCCAGGATCAAGGTAGACTAGACCAGACTAGGCCATTTGCATCCTTTTCCGCCAGTTTCTTTGTTCTGAAAAGGAGAAGGAAGGAATCTAATTTGTCGATCGGCTAACGCTAGGTAGATATGTCCCAAGGTACCTCTCTAGCTTCATATTGGAATTGAGTCATCGAAAAAGCCACCAACGAACTAGTTAACTAACAACATAGCACAGCCGCAACGCCTGTATTCTGCCGTTCCCACTTGCTAGTGATCCAGTCAGCATCTAGCTACCAATTAACCTTTGAAGTAGGGAGTATCTGTCCAAGAAAGGCTTGTTAGGTTGTTGGTGGTCTCAGTGGCCGACAGCAGGAAAGATCCTCTGCAGTCTTACAAAACCTAGTTATGGTGTAGATAGTAGTACTTTCGAGAACTTTAGCAGATGTATCGAGGGATCCATGTCTCTTTCTATCCAAACATGTCTACGGGGTACTGCATACCTACTTATCTTGTCAAGGCACAGATGTATCAAAGAGCGACATCATACCTTGATGCTCTGTTCAGTGGTGTCCGGAACAGCTGGGGAAACGGACGTCATTCTGTGCATTCTTTCCACCTGTTCAGTAGATGGATTCTATCTTATTACACGAACACCGGCGTAATCTTCAGACATTGTACCTATTTGAAGCAAGACAATCTCTCAGTTTGTTTTGTGTACTGTCGATATATCTCCTAAGGTACAAGGCAAGGTAATGGTCCAGCCAACAAAGACCTGTCTGTCATTAGCCACCTTCCTACATTTCGTGATGCACCCTCCGCGTTTCGATTGGTCTGAATTGCCATAGGCAAATGTGCAATTCCTTTGCCAACTCAGTCTCTTTCTCGCTGGTTGCATACCGCTGTAGTAAGCGCCTGACGTGCAATATATAAAGCGCGGCCAAGTGGGGGAGCTGGAGATAGCTCTAAAATATCCCCAGCGCTTAACCCAATCTTTCTTAGACCATTCTTTCTAATCAACTTATTTTCTTACATACAACTGGTGAAGATCATCACTAGTTCCCCTTCAGGTTCGATTCTACCATGTCCTCCAGAGGCGCTGGGGATTCCCACCCTGGACGGGGTAGAGGAGGCGACCGCGGACGGGGGCGCGGTGGAGACCGCGGCGCCGGTGGACGTGGAGGCGGCCGAGGAGGGACCATGGAGCTTCCATTCCGTCCAAGCGAGTCAAGAGGCGGTTCTTATCGAGGAGACTCAAGAGGTCGTGGAGATGCATCTAGAGGTCGCGGAAGAGGCGAATTCAGAGGCAGCGGCAGAGGGGACTCTGGAGGTAGAGGGGGTAGAGGCGGGGGCTTTAGAGGTGGTCGCGGCGACCAAGGGCCCAGGATATTCTCGTATGTGGCTACCAAAATACTCTCTTTTTCTCTCCAACAGTGCATTTGTTAATTCTTTTCCCTTGTTTTAGCCAGGGTGACCGGGTTGTTGCTCCTAGCCCAAAAGTTCAGCAGACTGAGGCCGCCATAGCCAAGGCTCTGGTAGCAAAGCGACAGAAAACTGTCGGCCAGGCTCGTTACCCAGAGCGTCCAGGTTATGGAACTCAGGGCTCTCCAGTGACACTCTACGCGAATTACTTCGAGTTGAAGTCTGCGGGAAAGGAATTGTTCCGTTACAATGTCGATATCGTCGCCGAGTCAGCTAGAACTAAGCCTACTGGAAAGAAAGCCCGTCAAATCATCCGGCTCTTACTGGACGAGCATTTCTTGCAATACCAGAGCAGTATTGCCACGGATTACAAGTCCACCCTTGTCTCTAGGGTTGAGCTTCCCAGTCAAGGGCAGTACGACGTCCGTTACCGTGACGAGCACGAAGATGACTACCCCGAGCGGCCTAGGGTCTACCGTGTCAACTGCCAGTTCACCGGTAGACTGAACCCTGGCGATCTCCTTGACTATTTGACTTCGGCGAATGCCTCCGCCATGTTCGAGTCCAAGGCGGAGATCCTTCAGGCGTTGAACATCGTCGTGGGCCATCATCCGAAGACGGACAGGGCCGTTGCATCCGTCGGTGCAAATAAGCACTTTGCAATCCATCCAGATGCAGCAGAGAGATACGACCTCGGCGCAGGCCTTGAAGTCTTGCGAGGCTTTTTCGTGAGCGTTCGCGCCGCAACTGCTCGTATCTTGATCAATGTCCAGGTCAAATACGCCGCCTGTTATCAGGAAGGGCCGTTGGCAAATGTGATCAACGAGTACCAACGTGGTAACAGTCGAAATATTTACAAACTGGAGGCTTTCCTGAAGAAGCTGCGCATTCAAGCAACCCATATCGTTAGGAAGAATAAAAAGGGACAAGTGGTACCAAGAATCAAGACCGTTGCCGGACTCGCAACTCGGGCTGATGGCGCGTCGCTTCCTCATCCCCCCAAAGTCGCAAGACATGGGGCCGGCCCAAAAGACGTTCAGTTCTTCCTCGATGCGCCTGGACAGAAGAGCGAGCCTGGGGACTCCAAGGGCAAGAACGGCAAGAAGCCTGCGAAAGCTGGCCCAGCGCCAGCCGGTCGGTACATCAGCGTCTCGGATTTCTTCTTGCAAGGTAAATTTCCCTAGTCTGAAGAACAGATATTGAAGAGGAACAAGACTAATTAGACTGGCAGAGTACAACAAGACTCTGGATCCCAACATGCCGGTGGTCAATGTTGGCACCAGGGACAACCCGTCCTACCTGCCTGTTGAAGTCTGTCTGGTAGAACCTGGACAGCCCGCAAAATCCAAACTTACTCCAATGCAAACGCGCAATATGCTGAGCTTCGCCGTCCGGGGTCCTGCTTCAAACGCAACTTCGATTGTCTCCCAGGGCACCGCCGTCCTCGGCCTCAAAAATCCCCTTAACCCCACCCTTGTAAGCTTCCTCTTAATCAGTGTCACAGATAGGTCATGTTGACTGATTAATCATAATAGGTCAATTTTGGTATGCAACCAGATCTCCAGCTCATCACTGTGGCCGGCCGCGTTCTCTCTGCGCCGCAGGTATACTACAAAGACGCCAAGTCGAACCAGAGACACATCGATACCATGGGTGGCAGCTGGAACATGAAGGCAATCAAGTTCTCCACACCTACAAAGCTGCCTTCTTGGACTTGGCTCTATATTGACAGCGAAAGGGGCAGGCCTCACTTTGAGAACCCGGGTCAACTGAACACTTCTCTTCAGGCCTTCACGGCCAAGCTGAACGAGATTGGTGTCGCTGCCGCCGCTCCCAAGCCTGGAATGATGATCAGGTTGACTGGAAATGACCACGAAGGAGAGATTGACAGAGCAGTGGGCGCCCTAATGGGTCGCCATAATCCCACTCTCATCCTCACAATTCTCTACAACAGTGACGCAGAGGCTTACAACTGCATCAAGCAGATCTGTGACGTCCGCCGCGGCGTGCGCAATATCAACGTCCTCGCCGAGAAGCTGAGAGGCGCCAACGACCAGTACTACGCCAACGTTGGCCTCAAGTTCAACCTGAAGCTCGGCGGAGCCAACCAAACCCTCAGAGCGAGGGAACTGGGCCTCGTCGCCGAGGGCAAAACAATGCTGGTCGGCATCGACGTCACCCACCCGTCCCCTGGCTCCTCCGCCGAAGCCCCCAGCGTCGCCGGCATGGTCGCCTCTGTCGATGCATCCCTAAGCCAATGGCCCGCCGACATCCGCATCCAGACCTCCCGCCAGGAAATGGTCTCCGACCTCGACGAGATGCTCAAGGCCCGGCTGCAGCGCTGGGCGCGCGCCAACAAGAACGCCCTCCCAGAGAACATCATCGTCTACCGCGACGGCGTCTCCGAAGGCCAATACGACGTCGTCATCGAGCAAGAACTGCCTTTGCTGAAGAAAGCCTGCGCAGAGACCTACCCACCCGCAGACACCAAGAAGAACCTCCCTCGCATCTCCATCGTCATCGTCGGCAAACGCCACCATACACGCTTCTACCCCACCCGCGACGAGGACGCCGACCGCTCCGCCAACCCTAAGAACGGCACTGTCGTCGACCGCGGCGTCACAGAGGCCCGTAACTGGGACTTCTACCTCCAGGCTCACACCGCCATCAAGGGCACCGCCCGCCCCGCCCACTACTTCACCGTCTGGGACGAGGTCTTCGCTCGCCAGAAACCCGTCGCCCCCTTCCAGAACGCCGCGGATATCCTCGAGGATCTCACCCATCGCCTGTGCTACCTGTTCGGCCGTGCCACCAAGGCTGTGAGTATCTGTCCGCCTGCGTACTACGCCGACCTGGTCTGCACTCGAGCCCGCTGCTACCTGAGCAGGGTCTTTGATCCGACGCCGGCGGCTACCCCGTCTGCAAGTGAGATTGGGGGGAGCGGACGTGGTGGGCTTGTGAAGGGTAGTGATGTTCAGATCCATGAGAACGTGCGTGATACAATGTTCTACATCTGATGCATTGATGTGGTTATCTGTTGCCTGCTCCATTGTCAGGTTTCAGGGAGCGAATGGACTCGTCCAAGTCCGCACTGTTGTTCGTTACGCGCCAAATTGTCTTCCAGTTAGTTATTCCGAAGCGAATCAGATTGCGAGTCTTGGTTTATCTGCTAGTTACCACGTTTGGGTTCACTCTTTGGTACTATTCTATATCCAGGGTAGCAATTCATACACAATCCTGATACCTGCACTAGCTTAATACATTGAAGAATCTGTAAAGAAAATAATGGAAAAAGGACAGTAGAAAATGCTCGAGAAGAATGGAAGCAGAGTACACAGACAGGGAAACGGAACGACCAGCTTGAGAATGGAATATAATCATGGATCCGTGCAGGCATCACCCGTTAATCGATGTTGCGGACTCATATTGCTCAATCATGGAGATATGGTATCACTTCTGTTACTGGACCTCGACAATAGTCGCACGTGCGCTCGGGTTCGAGCTGATAGAACAAGCCGCGCTGAGAAGTCCGGCTTCCCAAATCATATGAGTAGTTTATTCCTCATCGCCGAAGCCCCAGTGCTTCTCATTGACGTGGCGCAGCGCACGACGCTGAGGCGGAGGTGCAGTTTTACTGGGCTGCGGAGACTCATCGTATGCTTCCCAGGAAGACTCCATCATCTTGACGGCCTTCAGGCGATCTGTCCCCATTGGCTTCTGGTTCTCGTGACTGACCTTTCCATCCGCGGGAGAGGACCCGGTCATGCTCCAGTGAGTCTCAAAGTCCTTCTTCCGATTGCCGCCGTTTGGGACGACACCAAGTGGTGCCTTCTCCGCCGCATTCTTTCCAGGAGACTCTTCTTCGTTGTACATGTGGGTTTTGTAGAGATTAAGACCCTTGTTCTGGAAAGAGCTGATAATGCGTGACTTGTGCTGCTCGTCGTCATTATCCATGAGGTCGAAATGCGTTTCCGCGTCGCGTCTGGGTTGCACTACGAAAGGTTTCACGGGAGGAGTTGGCTGAACCTCGTCGTCGCTCCATCCAAAGTGTCGTGCCTCCTGAGGACGGGGCTGGCGTTTAGGCTTCTCTGGTGTTGCAAAATCCTCAAAATCCCAGTGAGGGACATGGCGCGACATGGGGCGACCGGGTTTCGACTTCACTTCGCGTTCGCTGTTATCGGCGCCGAGCTCAAAATGATCAAACCGTTTCGGGTTTGTCTTGTAGGCGATTTGCTGCTTAGCCTCTGCTTCATCATCCTCGAAGATACGAGAAGCGCGATAGTTCTTGCCTGCGCCCGCTTTGGGAGCAATGGCCCGGGACTTAGACGGCGTAGGCTCCGGCGCATCGTTTTCGTCTTCGCCGACAAAGAGTTCGCTGTAATCGCGTGGTGGGGGCTTTGCGGATGCAGGAGCACGAGGAGCACGCACCGGCTGAGTGCGATCCTTTCCAGGCGACAAGAGTTCCTCCAGAGACTCTGCCGCGTAGGGATCCTTGATACGTCTCTTCGAAGGAGAGGCGGACTTCGAGCGGAATTCTTCACTGTTTTCCTTTGTGGGGGGCTGAGACGGTGCAGGACCCTCACTTGCGGGGACAGAAGCGACGGCAGCTTTGATCAGACGTGTCTGGTCCTTTGCATCACGAATGGGCCAGCCCCGTCCGCGAGCGCCGATAACGTCGACCTGTTTCAAAAGTGAGGCTTGGTCCCAGTATATTCTGACATTCTGAATTTGGTTCTCCGAATCGAAGCGCACGATGTGGACCTATCGAAGCACACCAGGAGGTTTAGCTGAGTGGACAATGCAAGGAGCGTCGGGAATTAAGAACATACCGTGGGGAAAGCTGCGACTCGATCGGCCAGGAAGTTATCGTCAAGAGAGGGGAGATAGGCCCCGCCTCCAGACACAAACTCCAACGTAACCTCTACATCCAAGCATAGAGAATCTGAACCTTCGATTGCGCCAATGATATCTGCGGCTTTCTTCTTCACGACGGTCTCTTGCTTCGTTAAATGGCTGACGACCGCATCGGCACCGTCGAATTGGGTAGCCGTGGTGATATAGATCAGGGAGGCATTGGCGGCCAAGGGAACGGACTTCGGATTCGCAAGGAACCTTTGGTAGAGGTCCTTGAGAGACATGATTTGATTCTGGATAAGATTCAAAATTCAACGAGCGTGGAGGATCGAAACGAATTGATGAATAAAAGTATGGAAGAGGTCGTCCAGAGATGATTGGATCGCGGTCGTTCGCAACAGTGGGCAGGACGCGGAACTGTTTATGATGGAGGACACGAACCACAGTTTTGCTCGAGCCTTTCCAGAGTCTGTCAATCAATGGTTCACTTGCACATTTAACAACAATAATAGAAACCCAGGAGACGGAGAAGTCGTTTTACCTTGGAGTTATGTAGAAGGGAGTGAACTCTGGTATTTGAGAATGTGGCAGAGAACCACCAACGGAATATGCCAGTCAAACACTAATGACCAAGGAAACTGTGTCTCTCAAGAATTATGTAGACTAGATAGTGAAAGGACAACAATTACAATCGAACAAAAACATTAATGGCAGACAAGTAGTATTTGATGGACTGGAAATGCGACGCGCCCGTAGCAAGCCGCTTTATTATTAGCTGTCGGCCTGAGAAGTGAATAATAAAACTAAGAGGAGCAAAACTACACAGAGAAATCATGGCCCGGGAGGCATCTTTCACAGGACAATCACAATAAAAATAACGGGATGGCTCATACTCTCCAATGTTCCGTTATTATTATGGAGTACCTCTGGGTAGCCTAGGTACGCTGGACTTGCGAGTCTGGAATGATGAATCTGACGAGACCGGGGTTCCATCAGCATCTGGACAATCAAACGGTGTGTTTGCCGGCCAAGCAGGAAGGTTGAATAGTTCTCGCGCACGGCTCCATCTTCCAAGAAGGACCGCACCAGTGTTTCACCACTTCGGCTACAAAGCCACACTACTGAAGCGTCGTCTCTCGGGCAACTACGGGGGCCTTCCGTCTCTCCTGGTTGGTGTTTATGGCTAAGTACTCAGCTGTGCTCGGAGATATGGAGAGCATTGGAGGCCCTGCACCTAAGGCTGGATAGGATTGCGACTCAAATGGTTGTATATCTGGCTCTAACGCTCATATGTCAATGGACAAAGGGTATTTACCATGGTCAATAGGAGCCACGATCTTCCATTCCCGGTTAGTTATTATCCCAACTGAGTACAGGGGTTGAGATATACTTCGAAGCTCTCATTTCGGAAGCAGATCTCCAGATGTGTACTCAATAGTCCAAAGGCTCCGATGTTCTCGTCATACGCTATCATGCAGCCTTCAAAACGAAGACCATACGGGTGCTTTTTCGGATCCTTTCTTTAAAAGTATAAGTTGAACGCAACCGCTCCTCCAGTGGAGAAGAGTACTCAGGCTGCGGTGATGTTTGAGGCATCATATTGTCCACTTCACAAGCATGATACCTGAGACAATTGATCCCTAATTCCAATCGCCCATGTACCCAAAATCATAGAATGTCTCATGGTGAATATTGTGATGTGGGTGTTGATATTATCGCAAGTGTTTGTCAAGTGGGAAAGACGAGTTTTGGGGCTCCTCGAGGTGTCTTTATAATGGTCTAAAGCAAGTGAACAGATTAGTGACGATGCTCTTATGATAAGGCCACGCAGATATTGCGCTCACCCAAGATAATCCTCTTTAATCGTCCCAATGGCATTGATAGCAGCTACGTCCGGCTTGACACCGAGGATTTTGAGCCGTAAGCTGGTCCCCTTTTCGATGACCTGGTCGGCATGATCCGTGTACTGAGGAGGTACTGTATTCGGCTCCCACTTAATATCCGAAGGAATGTTCTTGCCAACTGGTTAGCATCGACATTTCATCCTGAAATCAAGTATAGGCGACATACTTTTCGCGCAATGAAAACGGATAGCGGACCGGCCAAGGTGAAAATACCAGTAGGCTTGACGGAAGTAACGATTGCATCGACCTGATATTCAGAGTCAGAATTAAGAGGACATTTGCATATATGTTCGTGCCAGCATACCGTCTCCCCCCTGAACGGCTTCCAGATGATCGCACGATATTTGATTGTGTATTCGGCTTGCCCGCTTCCTGGAAGGACCCGACCCTCTCCAATATCTACCATGTCCATGACGCAAATGACGAAATGATCACCAGTACACCGGCCTTCCTCTTCCTCGTTAAGCCTATTGATCAAATACTCCCGCATATTCGGCCCGAAGTACGACGGGTGCAGTGATATCACCTTGGTCTCTTCCTTTAAAAAAAACATGGCGCAAGTCTTCTTTCAAGTCGCACAAGGTAATTATTCCAACGACAACACTCCTTTCTCAGCCCTATACGATACAAATCTCCGTTTGAGCGTTTATGTAGTGGTATGCACGTTCGCGCTTCGACCAACGTCCCAGGTCTCGTTACTGGCGATGTTGAGCAGGCAGCGGTATTATCGGGCGCAAGGAGAATTCAAGGAATCGTAGCGACTGCGGGTGGTCAAGAGAGAGAGGCGTGAATGTCTTGGGAAGCGGCAGTTAACGATAGTGAGATCAGTCGCTCATGGTAAGAGGCAGCGACATGCAATTTTGCTTTGGCAGGAGGGCCCAAAAAGACGCTAATAGAGGGTATAGAAACGAGACATCAAGAACAGACTTGTATCAAGTATCGTCAATTTTCTGATGGGCAACGCCAGACACAGATGCTCTGGGTTATGAAGATTCGTCAAAAAGCAATCGTTTGAAGTGACTGCCTGATCAACATTAGAGCTGGACGAAGTCACCTGACCTGGATGATCTGTACAATACCTGAGAATAAGGTAACAAGAAGAATGCCATATTACAGTACAGTACAGTTATCTTACTTAAGTACTCTCATAGTTTCTGTAGTAAACAAATCGGATACAACCCAATTACCTAGGTTGCATCCTCGGCATTACCCCCCTCCCACCTGACGTCCCACCATAAATTGCCTAAGATGGCATACTTAGGACATTACTTAAAATGGCTTATTTCTCCACCACGTAGCTGGCCTGATCGTAGCATCCCCGTCGCTTTGAAGCTGGCAGACAAGTCTCTCCATGCTATCGCCTTTGGTTCAATAAAGTCGTCGGACAGGCTCAGAGAAGAACACAACCCAAAGTAAAATGGCGTTGAACCTCGAGAAGCAACTCCTTTTTGTGAGTCTCTTCAGCTTCCGTGATTGATGAACTAGTGCTTATATCTACCTACAGTATGGTGCCTATCACAATGACCCGGTAGGCTCGCAACACTCTCCATCCCCCGCAATCGACGTTTAAGCTTATTCGTTCTTAGGTGAATGTGGCCATTCACATCACCTGTGTACCGATACTCTTGTTCACAGGTATAGCTTTGGTACGTTCATTAGTTCCAAACGCTGACCTCGACAGCACTGACACGCGGAACCTCAGGCTTCGAATTCGCCGGCCCTGTTCAACCTTCCTGAAGCTCTAAGCTTTGAATATCTTCCAGCCAACCTCGGCACGATCGCAGCCTTTATATATGCCACTTTTTACATCCTCCTAGAACCTGTGGCCGGGGGACTGATCGCTCCGCTCCTGATCGCTGGTGCAGCTTACGCCAACTATCTGCTGAGCACCTACGGCACACCTGTCAATTACTGGGCCGCTGGAATTCACGTTGTCTCGTGGTTGCTGCAGTTCGTCGGCCACGGCATCTTCGAGGGAAGAGCTCCAGCATTACTTGACAATCTCGTTCAAGCCTTGCTTCTTGCTCCTCTCTTCGTCTGGTTGGAGATTCTGTTCTTCCTCGGATATCGTCCTGAGCTGAGAGCTAGATATGAGGAGAGCGTGAAGAAGGAAATTGCTGCCTTCCGGAACAAGAAGGGTGACGCCGCGAAATAGTGTGCTGGTATAGCTTGCTTTTGACCTGACTGGTGACCATGGCTTGACTGTATCAGTGTGGACATGGTAAGTGGCTTATGGCCGTAGCTGTGGTTGCCTTATCCTTCTTTGTATCAGAGCTCGGGTACGTCACAATGGTAAGACAACTCGGAATCATTTGCGACTGCATATTACTCAACCCGACTCTATGTACAGCTCATGTTGTATCCGTTATGGTAGCGGATGATACATGTGTTTACCCGATGTAAGCAGTTTGACCTTTTGCATGGGCGACATGGAGAGTATCATACAAGAGTACTCTCTTGAAAAGCACAACAAGCTTTTTTTGGTGTAGTTACTTCGTAGATTAGATGTTACCGTTGGTAGTGCCCTTGTGTTTGGTTGCTGTGACGAAAAGACGTGGATGACTAAGCCCCTAATATCCGCAGATCCGAGAAAACGAAAAATGGAATTGCCAGCTGTCCCGATGGCCAAGCTTAGAGGGATTGCCAATTTCATCAACAATACGGAGCTTTATAAGATAGGCTTTTTTTTAAAGTACAATATAGAGACATAAGAAAAAGCAAGATTGTAGTATAGAATAATTTATGGAGCGAGAGTGCCGTGGGAAAACGACATCATTGACCTGTATTTCTCTGGGGGGTTGGTGTCCCGTGAACGCACTAGGGCGGCTTCGGAGCCCGTTGGTGAGGCTCGGCAAACTAGGCTTAGTGGCAGTCCTGAGAATCCTCCCAACCCGGACGACAAAGCTCTCCTTCTATCCATCCACAATCCTTTCTCCTCTGCCACCTTCTCCCCAATTATATCTCTCCTTCAGAGAAACCACTCTCCCACACCTCTGAACCTCCATCACAATGTTCAGGAACGCTTTGCGGCAGTCTAGCCGCACCGTTGCGGCTGCCACTGCCACTGGCAGAATCGCCTCGGTGAGTCTCATCCCTGCTCAGGTCGACCTCATCGCATCAATATGGTCGTTTCCATCTCGAGAAAATATCTCAATCGGTGCTCGAATCGCTTCACCATACGTCGACATACTTTTCAAATTGGTTTCACGCATTGTGGTTGGATTGTGCTGGCGTTGACAAATTTTGCGTCTCGACAGGTTCGCGCGGCTGTTCCCGGCCCCCTCGCCGGTGCCTCCAAGCAGGTCCGTTCCTACGCTGCTGAGGCCAAGGCTTCGCCCACAGAGGTTTCCTCCATCCTTGAGCAGAGAATTCGTGGTGTTCAGGAAGAGGCTGGCCTTGCTGAGACTGGACGTGTCCTTTCCGTCGGGTATGTGCTAGATTAATGCTGGCTGAAAAATTCGCACCCCGCCGCATTTTCATCGAAATCATCGAATTCAACAGATATTCCGCTGTCTGTTCAATTGTGACAGTTGACTGATCTGCTTTGGCCTTATAGTGACGGTATCGCTCGTGTCCATGGTATGACCAATGTCCAGGCTGAGGAGCTGGTCGAGTATGTATCAACTTTTGATGAAGTGTTGCGTACCTCAGACAACTGACAAATGATCAGGTTCGCCTCTGGTGTCAAGGGTATGTGCATGAACTTGGAAGCCGGCCAGGTCGGTGTTGTGCTTTTCGGTTCCGACCGTCTCGTCAAGGAGGGTGAGACCGTCAAGCGTACTGGAGAGATTGTACGTTAAGTTTCCTGGTATCGTGGCATTACCCTTACGATATACTTACAACGCGCACAGGTCGACGTTCCTGTCGGTCCCGAACTCCTTGGCCGTGTCGTTGACGCCCTTGGTAACCCCATTGATGGCAAGGGCCCCATCAACACCAAGGCCAAGAGCCGTGCTCAGCTCAAGGCCCCTGGTATCCTGCCCCGTCGTTCCGTCAACCAGCCCGTCCAGACTGGTCTGAAGTGTGTCGACTCCATGGTCCCCATCGGCCGTGGTCAGCGTGAGTTGATCATTGGTGACCGTCAGACTGGTAAGACCGCTGTTGCTCTCGATGCCATGCTTAACCAGAAGAGATGGAACAACTCTTCCGACGAGAGCAAGAAGCTGTACTGTATCTATGTTGCCGTCGGTCAGAAGCGTTCCACTGTCGCTCAGCTCGTCAAGACCCTTGAGGAGAACGACGCCATGAAGTACTCCATTGTCGTTGCTGCCACTGCTTCCGAGGCCGCTCCTCTGCAGTACCTCGCTCCCTTCACTGGCTGTGCCATGGGTGAGTGGTTCCGTGACAATGGCCGCCACGCTGTCATCGTCTACGACGATCTTTCCAAGCAGGCCGTCGCTTACCGTCAAATGTCTCTGCTGCTCCGTCGTCCCCCTGGTCGTGAGGCCTACCCCGGTGATGTTTTCTACCTGCACTCCCGTCTGCTCGAGCGTGCTGCCAAGATGAACGATAAGCACGGTGGTGGTTCCCTTACTGCTCTGCCCGTCATCGAGACCCAGGGTGGTGATGTCTCCGCCTACATTCCCACCAACGTTATTTCCATCACCGACGGCCAGATTTTCCTGGAAGCCGAACTCTTCTACAAGGGTATCCGTCCCGCCATTAACGTCGGTCTTTCCGTGTCCCGTGTCGGTTCCGCTGCCCAGGTCAAGGCCATGAAGCAGGTCGCTGGTTCCCTGAAGCTGTTCTTGGCTCAGTACCGTGAAGTCGCTGCTTTCGCTCAGTTCGGTTCCGATCTCGATGCCTCCACCAAGCAGACCCTCGCTCGTGGTGAGCGTCTGACCGAGCTCCTCAAGCAGAAGCAGTACTCTCCCATGGCTGTCTCAGAAATGGTTCCTCTCATCTTCGCCGGTGTCAACGGTTACCTCGACGGTATCCCCGTCAACAGGATCCTCACTTGGGAGTCTGACTTCCTTGCCAGCGTCAAGAGCAACCAGCCCGAGCTCCTTGAGACCATCGACAAGGAGGGCCAGGTCAGCAAGGAACTCGAGGCTCAGCTCCGTGAAGTCATTGAGAACTTCAACAAGTCTTTCAACGCATAGGTGAGCAAAAGGCAATTGGGTGATTGATCCACCGTGTACTGTTTTTTCCTGACGCTATGTGTATAGACAAGATAGCTTGTACAATTTGATTCCACTGTTTTTCTCTTGTTTTCAAAGTTTCCGAAACGGGTTCGCCCCAGAGCAAGTGTATTCTCGGCTCGGTCATTGCACTCTCGCCTTTCCTGTAGCGATGAAACTCTAGGATGACGGTGCGGAGACAAAAATCAAAAAGATACGATTAATATCCTGTACGTTTAGATCTTTTTGGGCGACAAGGGAGTGGGACATGAGGGGATGATTGGATTGTCAGCCTATCCTTCATAAAAGAAGGTACCGTCCAATTAATCTCTCATAGCGCAGCTTCTTCGTTTACCATTATGCAGCCAGAAATATGATTTCCTTTGTTTCTACCTAAATCCTGTATCCGCGTGAATCGGGCAAGCTCTCTTTGAGCTTTTCACATTTGAGCCACATGCAGATCGACCAACCACAAGCAGCCGTAAGAGCACATAACTACCATAGGTGCCTATTGACAGAAATGGGTTTATCGGGATCTCGGACTACTTACAATTCTGTCGAGTTATACCCGACGCTGACTGAATGGAACTATGTATGATTTGCGGAGCATATGTTGTTGCTGATTCACAAAGGCGAGGTAAGCCACTTGGACGAACGAATGATATTGATAACTGTTTCTCACTTTGAACCTCAGCGATACAAGGAATATATTATTTTCTTTTGGCCCACAGCTATATCTTCAATGGGGCTGGTCTCCTGTTCCCTCTGGCCGTGGGCCGAATGCGGCGTTTGCTTTATCGATAAGCGAGCAATCTTTTCCGTCCCCAAAATTTGTCAATGCCCCTCCTCCGTAGTTTGATCTCCGCAGAATACCGACTAGTTCTCGCCTATCTCCAGATTATATCACAGTAACCGCGCATATGGCTACTCACGCAGACTCTGTGCATCCACCAGTGCATCCAGCTTGCAAGGTCGTGCTTTCTAAGAACGTTGCAAATAGCCTCGTTGCGGAGGTCCAGGAAGGTGTCAAGACCTTGGAGAAGCCGCCTCATCTTGTCGGATTTCTGGCCAACGATGATCCTGCGGCATTGATGTATGCCCAGTGGACTGAGAAGACATGTCAAGAAAAGTGAGCGTCTATCTATTCCTGCATTTTATGCGTCAATTGCGCCGTTCTGTCTCTTGTGTTCCGTACGCCATCAATTGCGATCTCGGAGCATGGCATAGCATCGTTCTGAGTCACCTTATCGTAGCTAACGTAGAAGTTCCTTGATACAGTGGATTCCGTTACTCTTTGCGCCAAGTGTCCCGCGACGATATCGAAGATGCTATTCTGGCTGCCAATGCCGACTCAGACGTTGACGGCATCATCGTATACTACCCCATCTTCAATAATCGCCAAGACCAGTATCTTCAGCAGATCGTCGACGTATCCAAGGATGTAGAAGGTCTCAGCCATCGTTACATCTTCAACATGTACCAGAATATCCGTTTCCTTGACCCTGAAACCAAGCGGCAGAAGTGCCTTCTTCCTTGCACCCCCCTGGCCATCATCAAGATCCTCGAGTACCTCAACATCTACAATACGATCCTACCGTACGGAAACCGGCTGTTTGGACACACTATCTGCGTTGTGAATCGCTCAGAAGTTGTTGGCCGGCCACTTGCGGCTCTGTTGGCGAATGACGGAGCTTGTGTCTACAGCGTGGACATCACCGGTGTCCAGAAGTTCACTCGTGAGGGTCTCAAAAAGCGCAGGCACGAAGTCGTGGACCTGGAAGGAAAGACAATCAAGGATGTAGCCCCTCTGTGCGATGTTGTCATCACGGGTGTTCCCAGTGAATCATATAAGTTCGACACAAGCCTCCTCAGAGAAGGCGCCGTCTGTGTCAACTTTTCTAGCGAGAAGGTAAGCTTTCGATATTGTCTAAATGCCAACTGGGATTCAGGCAAGTTAATGTGCCGCACAGAACTTCGGCCCAGAAGTAAAAGAGAAGGCATCCATCTTCGTTCCTTCGATCGGCAAGGTGACTATCGTGGTTCTGCTCCGGAACCTCTTGGTGAGTGACATCTGGCGAAGCGTATTTATGGATAATTGGGCTGACAATGCGTTACAGAGATTGATTCAAAACCGGAGATTGGACGACGTTAAACCGGCTGAAGCCACCGAGCGTCCTGGAACTCTGGAGGCCGCTTCGTAATTACATTATTCAATAAATGCGGCATGCAACGGGAGACGACAACTAACAAAGCCACATGACAATCATAGATTTCCTTTCTTGTGTTCTGTATCAATCTGTTCCCCAAAAGAGACTCAACAATGGTTGTTTTCTCGTGTATATGACCCGTGATATGAGCCTGTTCTATGAAAAGGTCTTCGTGTCAAGCCTCTGAAACATATGGAAGTGACTTGCTCTCACAAAGTGTCTCCTTGTGCGAGGGATTTGCTGAATAGAAAGTACTCAAGAGTATGGACTGGGATAGTGTGCAAAAAGACGCCATAGAATATTTCGTGCGCAAGGCAGTTATTCAGTTCGAGCCGGATGGCATTTGATATTGTCGGCGATCCCAGCTAGAAACAGTTCAAATTCATTGAGTCCGAGACACGTTCTCAAGAAAGAAAGCCATGCCATTTACTTCTTGTTATTGGTATCCTGCACACCTACAACGCTTCCAACCCCGCCAGTTTTCCTCTCTGTTTCCTTAGCCGCAAGTCGTAGCACCTCAATCTCGGTAGAAAGCCAGCGTCGCAGTGGTTCGGGGTGGAAAGTTCCGTCCGCGGAAAACCAGTTCATAAATGGGGCTTCGATCTCCTTTTCTTGGAGAATCTTGTTGGAGGGCGACGTGTACTGTACGCGGAGCTTGTAGAGAGGGGAGTTTTTCTTCACAGAAGACCGAATTGAAATCTAGTTGGAGAAACAGTGAGCTTGGCTTGTGATTACAGAAAAGGACGCTGTAGACTATACCGTTTCACCCGACTTTCGCTTGCCCCGAAAAACCTCGCCAGCTTCAACAGCCCATATCCAGTATGTGAGGCCCGCGTTCAGGATGAAGTATGAACACACTGCTGCTATAACCCACGGGGAGGTAGTTGCTTCCCAACCAAGTTTGCGATCAGCGTAGAAAGTAAATGAAGCGATGGCAACTGCGCTGTAGCCAAGAAGGAATCGGACATTGGATTTAGAGTGGTCTTGTTTGAAGGTATACGGTTGAGGAAGGGTACACAGGTACGGGACAAGGGCATCATCTGTGGTGGATTTCAGATCTAAATTAGGCTGTTAGTGACGGTTACCAAGAGTTTTGCATACCATATCCTGTATGAGGAACCAAAATAGAGCTCGATGTAGCTGTCTGGAGTATAGAGGGCTAACCATTGACAGAATAAACAGGCACCTTCGGCGCCGAGGAGGTTGCCATTGTGAGCTATAGATTTCGACTAAAATCAATTTTAAATAAGATAGAGCACCGCTAGAAGCCACAGGACAGTCCGGGTACTTTATAATTTAGATGTGGCGCGCCAACTCAAGCAGTGATGTTTATCTGGCAGCGAGGAGTTGCGGCGAGCTGGCCCTTTCGCGGAGAGCTGAGCTAAAGCGGCATGCCAGCCAACGCTAGTAAACCCGCTTTGTCTGAGCTCGCGGGGACACCCGCATCATCACTGGCGACTTTCTTTCCAACCTCAATTCTCATTGAACCGGTGGCCAAACGTCTGCTCTAGAGGTCTGGGTCACAATGGCTTTACAAGGGGTTGAGCAGACCATCCTACGGGATCCGGCTCTGTTGTGAGTGGTATCCTCGTTGACGTGTCGTGGACGACGGACTGACATACATTATCAAAGCTATTGGATCCTGTTCCCCATCACCATTGTCATGGTAAGTCTCGTGGACCATATAGTCTTGTGATGCTGGCTGATACTGATGCTCTGTGAAGATATTGACAGGTATTCTTCGCCATTATGCGACGGTTCTGATGAACACCCCCCCGAAACCTCCGGCGACACTTGCCGAATCTAAAGAGCGTCTTTCGCTTCTGCGAGGAGTCAACCTGCGTAACAATGCTCCCGCAGTGCTATCGCGGGAAGGCTTCGACATGCGAAAGAACTACCTGATCTCTGCATACAAAAGCGGTGCCTTCCTTAAAGACCCTTCCAGCCGCGGTCAGCCACCTGCGAATCCAATGACCGATCCTGCGGGCATGGAGGCCATGATGGGAATGATGAAAGGAAATATGATGATGATGATCCCACAGACCTTGATTATGAGCTGGATCAACGCATTCTTTTCTGGATTTGTTATTCGTATGTTACCGTTTGCAACGGAGTCAAGCTCGCCTGTACGCTAACAGAGTCGGCACAGTGAAACTGCCCTTCCCGCTCACGATCCGATTCAAATCAATGCTCCAATCTGGTGTCATGACCCGTGACCTGGATGTCAGATGGGTGTCTAGTCTTTCTTGGTACTTCTTAAATCTGTTCGGCCTTCAGTCAGTCTTTGGCTTCATCCTTGGCAGCGATAACGGTGAGTGACGTCCCCATCTTGCCTTTTCAACTTTACCAGACTTCCCGTTACTCTCCCTCAAATGAACACATGCTGACTCTCTTGATGATGCAGCTGCCAATCACATGGCTCAACAGATGGCTACTATGAACCCGGGCGCAGGAGTCAACCCATTCCAACCTGGCCAGGATCCAGACAAACTGTACCAGAGTGAAGCGGAGAACTTGGAAGTCACGGAGTACTTTAGTATTCTGGACGGTATCGAGGAGAGAGTCCTACATAACTATGCCTCAAAGGAGATTCGCTGATTGATGTTGGGTGCGCGGAAACAGTTCTCCCTTACACTGTTTTATATTCGTATAGAAGAGAGTCAAACGGAGTGTTTTTTGATTTCTCCAAATGATGTGTTTGCTATCTAATTTTCTGGCTATTCTTCGTAACAGGCAAATGAGAAGTTGAATACTTCAACGGACTGTTGGACATGGCAAGCCTTTTGTGCACAACAAAGATGTGAACGTAAATTATAGTATAGAAAGGAAGTCGTTCATGCATAATTCATCCATCCGTCCGGATACATCGAGGGTTTCGTGTGGTATTAGCTCGAATGTTGCAGTACTTCGCAAACAGAGGATTTCAACGGTAGTTGATGACACCGTTCAAAATCCAAAGCTCACCATTTGTCACTGTCTCGGCGATATTGTCAACCTCAACATTACCCGGTTGGATCTAAGTAGCGTCAGTAGAGATGCGCAATAGCTGATAAGTGAAGAAATACACACATATATCCTATCACCATTTTTGTTCCACTTCAGTTTCTCCCCTCCAAGCGTCTCCATCTCTTCACCCTCCCTCCATGGACTTGTTGGAATTATATGAGCCTCCACGAAACGCTGTAAATTCTGCTTCGCTCTATCTTCACCTTCCTGTCCTTCATAGGCGCTCACCCCACCAAACTTCTCGTAGTCTTCTGGGTTCTCCCAGGGCTTGCGAGGCAAGCTTTGAATAGCACTATTCCGAGGAGCTAGGACAGTAGTATTTTTGGATGGATCGTTAAGGCGTGATTCAATAGGCTCAAACTGCCGGGTGAGAGAAGCAAATATATTGATGGCACGGTTCTTGGGAAGAACATCAGAGACGACAGGCTTCTCACTGTCGTCCTCTCTCGACGAGGAAGAGAACAACTTGTTCATTACCGGCTGTTGTTTGGAAAGCCAATTTCTTAGTTCAGTATCGTCCTGCAGGCCTTGTTCGTGCCGTAAGTGAAGGATGTCTACAAGTGAACGTGGGAGACGCTTGCGCAGGCTGAACCTCGGAGGCAGACTCAGATTTGCAATTACTGAGGCGATGAAGCAAAATGCAATGACAGATAACACTAAGGGTGTCCGCCGCATCTTGACGAGAAAGAGTGTCTCGGTTTAGACGTAGCACGATAGATAAGACATAGCATGCCTGCGAGTCCAAGGCTGTGGCCCATGACGCAACCAATGCCACTCTTCCTTTTCTGGAAAGGGTCAGCACGTGATGCACAGCTAAACGCACGTGACGACTATCGATAAGGGCAGTCGTTCGGTGTCAACCACAAAAAGCGTCATGTCCCGATTGCGGAGGAGGGGAATTGTCTGCCCCTCATTCTAGTTGCGGGTGCCAATCCATTGACACAATGTCGGCTCTGCAGACGTTTATGTTGGTTGTAGACCACGATAAAGCAGAGGCTAAGCAGATTGCTGAGCGGGTTGCTCAGGGTATTGCTTCCCCGCGGCCCCAAATCAATATACCTGGATACTAATGGGCTGCTCTTAGATGTGGAGCACAAAAGGACGACACTTATTGAAGTTGTACAGTCACTCGGAGAGTATATCAACGATGAAGATCCTATATTGCGAGGCAAAGCTGTCTCGTACCTCACTGCTGTGATCAGAGCACTTCCTCCGAAGTATCTATCAAGACAACAGATCCAAGTGCTCACAACGTTCTTCTGTGACCGCATTGAAGATGGAGGGGCTGTCGCTGGACTGGATACACTGCAGAAATTGGATCGCTTTAACGATGCGTTAGCTGAGGAAGTAGCACAAGCGTAAGTGCTTCGCGGAGCCTTGACCTATAGACCATGCATCGCCCGGCCTTTAAACCATTATCAATGCAGTGGTTTAGTCGCAGAAGCAACTGACTATTCTCTAGTATCTTCGAGCGCCTACAGGACTTACAGTCTCGATCTCAATCGCAAAGGTTTCAGGTATACCAATTGTTGAATGAGTTGATGTCGAATCATCGGGCCGGTACGCATTGCACCACTTGAACTTCAATGATTGCCCATACTGAGTTATACTAGCCCTTCACAAGATGGGAGATACATCTCTCGTCGGAATCGTTGATCTCATGACTGGAGAGAAAGATCCTCGGAATCTTATGCTTGTCTTTTCCATCTTGAAGGTGGTCATGATTGAATGGGATATCTCAAACCACGCCGAGGTATGCCGTTTCCTCTCTTCAATTTCCCAGTTTGGCAGCTAACGTCCGAAGACTCTTTTTGAAGCCGTTTATAATTACTTTCCGATTACCTTCAGACCTCCTCCAAACGATCCATACGGGATTACGGCGCAAGACCTGAAGGACCGTCTACAGGACTGTATTTCCTCAAGTAGTCTTTTCGCTCCCTACGCTATTCCCGCCCTTCTTGATAAACTGGATTCCACGTCACCAAATGTCAAGGTATGCTTTTTCACAACCCTAATGAGCCCTTTCTATCTAGGATCGGACTAAGAAGCCCCTAGAAAGATGCTCTTAACGCATTAATTGCGTGCATCAGATCGTATGACCCGGATACTGTGTCTAAATATTCCATCCAAATATGGGACGTATTGAAATTTGAGATCCTTAATGCACAAGAGGAATTCCTCTCAGAGCTTTCCCTTCAGGCTCTGAACAGCATTGCTAAACGGTTATCCGAGGGCATTGCAGCAATATCCGAACAGTCACCGCTCGGGCAGTTTCTACGGCCAATCACGAAAGAATGCAATGAGCAACTGCGAGAACCCCAGCAAAAGCAGGCCAAGCCTGCGCAACAGATTCTGAACTCAACATCATGTGCTTCTATAGCATCGTTCACAGTGATTGTGCAGACTGTTGTCGCGCCGCTGTTGACGGTTTATCAGGAGGCTGATGGGCTTGCCAAACAGAGAGCGCTACTGGAAACCCTTGGGGGCCTCTTTGATTCAGCCATCAAAGTTTTTGGGAAATGGGACTCGCATGAGCCTGAACCAGCCGCTGAAAACACTCTGGTCGAATTTAAAGATCAGTTCTCGGATGTCTTTGGTCAAGCATTGATGGGAGCAGCGAAGGAGGAAGTCTCCTTCCGAGTCACCGCTCTTGAAGGGTTTCTGCGTCTGTCCATCCTGAGAGATTACTTCCAAGACAACGAGATTGGCTTGTTTGTGCAATACTTGGATGAAATTCTGTTAAAAGAGGAATCTGCTGGCCGGGACGACTTAAAGAAGAAAGCCATCGCAGCTTTGGCTGAAATATCGAAGCACAAGCCACGATTGATCATGGATATAACATTTCCTGCCTTTGTTGCAACGCTGCCTGACTCTGACGAAGGGCCAAACACGGACTATATAACGACGCTTGAGAACCTCGCGCAAATCAGTGTTGAAAGGGACATTTTCGAGACATTAGTCCGACGTCTACTCAGCAAACTGACCATATTGCTTCAAAAGGAACGCGCTGGATCTATAGCATATCCTCGCGCAATGCTCATGACCATTCTATATGTGATGAAGCAGAGGAATCTGGATAAAGATCCAAACCTGGAACTCTACTATGACAAGATCGTAATAGGCCTCTGCCGTGGCGTTGCAGACGCGGCCACAGGAAGGTCTACGAATCGGATCTTGAATGACGCAGTTGTCATTGATATTCTTGGAAGACTTTGCAATGTCATTGTCAGGTGTCTATCGAAGCAAAAACAAGATGAAGTTGCGCAGAACGTCTACACTCTGTTTGCTAGCTCGAGTACATTTACACCGGTGCCATTCTCGCAAGCAGCAAATGAGGATCAACAGCGCACGATGATTATCTCAACGTATCTTCTTGCAGGGCTACCAGCAGCCTGCGCACACCTCCCGTATACCGGCCGCGACTTGTCACCTCTCCTTTCGGACCTTGTGACTCGATCCTTGACAGAGAGCGAGCCACCAACCCATCTCGCCTTTCTTCGTCATTCTGCCTTGCTTGTCAACAAATTCCTTCCAAAATCCGACCTTAGCATCGCTACGGAGATATTGAGCAACCTGTTCTCTGCTGGTGCTGAGGAGAAAAAGGTACCTTCTGGAACAATCAAGACGATATTTTGGCTCTCGAAGGCTCTCATCCTCCGCCTTACGCCAACGACCACGGAAATACTGACCTCTCTTTTGTCACTACTTTCGTCACCCGATGAGATGACAAGTACCACTGCTGCTCGCGGCTTCGCCATCCTCCTTAAGGACGATGACGTTCTTTCAGCTGACAACGGTGCAAACATCAGACTTTTAGCGAAACAACGCGTCTTCACGACATTAATCCCCCTCATCTCAAACCGCATTCGCGAGGTCAACGTCGCAGGCGATGTCTCGTCTACGCCCGCACACATAAAGCCAGCACATCTCACTGCCTTATCTGGAATACTCTCTACCATTTCGCCTTCATTGGTAATGCCGGAGCTCCCGACACTGCTTCCTCTTCTCCTGCAGAGCTTGGATCTGCAGACTGCAGACTCACAGGCTGTCCGAGCTGCAACGCTTGAGACTCTCGCCGTAATCATCCGCGAAAATGGCGTCGGCGTAATCGAGGAATGCGGCCATGTCCAAAGCTTGGTCACCCGGCTTCTGAAGACAGCTGCATACGATCCCGTGCCTACTAGGTTGGACCAACAAGCTGTCGGTGCCGGCACTGTAAACGGACCGCGACTACGGGTTGAAGCACTCAGATGTCTGAACTTGTTGGCTCAGACCCCTAAGACAGACGCCCCAGCTGTTGCGAAAGCCGGTAAACTGTCCCCGCTTCTACCGGTGAAGAACCAAGTGGTGCGTTCTCTGCGTATGATTCTAGATGATCCAAAACGGGATGTACGGAAAGCTGCAGTTGATGCTCGGGGCGCCTGGCTTCGAAACGTCGACGATGCTCCTGATGAAGAGGACTGAGGGATTGTGACGCTCGTTCTGATGCCCGTCGTCAGCATGACAGTGCTGTTTTATGTGATATGCGTGGTATTTGGTTGTAGATTCATCTCATAAAAATATAGACCGTTGGATTCGCAACAATCGAACATTCTATGAGTTACATCGGCTCGGTCGAAAGGACTATAGACCTTGATCTGAAGGAGGACGCTGAACTTGTTCTAAAAGGGATTGCATCATGTTGTGTTTAGATAGAAGAAGACTGCTAGGCGCCTATCCGCGGATCGTTTCCTTTTCCTTTTTCTCCCATACTGTTGTTTCGTTTTCTGGTTATAGTCAGTTGTCCCTTCTCTAGGTCTCTTGTCAATAGTCTTCCTCATTCCCAGCGGCCTCATTTCAATTATCGCTATCTTGTAGAATGACCCAGAACAATGATGATCGGCCTCACGGAAGTAGCAGCACCAGCAATTACCAATAGTCGATCTCGAGTTGCTCCTTGTCTTTCACGGAAGACCCACCGGAAGACTTCTTAGTCATTGCAGTGACCATGATGCTTCCGAACTCCTTGATGCTTTCGAAATCATTGAATTCCAAGCTTCTGGGCTCAAGTCGGACCGTCTGATCTAGAGAGCCAACCGAGCCGGCGATCGACGGCGCCTGGACTGAATCATGGTCCAAACCGTGGTTCCAGAATCCGACACCGTCCATTTTCTCGACAACAGTTTTTGTCAACCGCAGAAGATCTCCGAGGCCAGTAATGCCAATGGCCTTGGCCACAGAGCTGAGCATCGTATACGGAGCATAGGTCTCCTCCGCATTCCCGTGAAGAAGGGAGGCGTCTCTTCCCAGCAGGTCAGAGCTCCGCCATTCGTCAGTTCGTTCTCCAATTTCAAGATTTGCATTCGTTTTTAGGATGGCTTCAATAGCCGAGCTTACAAGAGACACTTCATACCATTGGCGGCCGTTTCCTGTCATTTCAGGTAGCGAAGCACAGCAGGCTGCCACCGTCCGAACGTCGGACGAACTGGATCCAATAAAAAGATCTTGCACTTCCATGACTTGAAGAAAGATACCTTGATTCTCCATGGCCTCTGCTTCGTTTTCCGCGGATGATTGGCTCTTATCAGTGGAATTGCTATTCAAGTCAGTCTCCGCTGTCGTAGCACTATTGCTCCTGATATGACTGGCGCGCTTGGCGGCAATGATGCTCTTCGGGGGACGGATGAAGCGATGAC